AGGAGAAATGCAAGGTGCAGTGGATCAAAGACAGAGTGAAGGAAGAGTAGGCAACATCTAATACGGTTTTGTTGTCCCACTGAGTGGGCATGCAGCAAGACACATCTGCTGCTTTCTCACCACACTTCAAGAAAGTGGGATTTCACATCCAGTTTGCCTTATTTGTCCACACGCTTTTTATCTTGAGCATTTCCTTCTACCTTCTTCTAGGATCTTCTCTATGTAAGATCTCAATACATTAGCACAGGTAGGCACTACATTTCAGGAGTAAGAAATTTAATGATCCATTTGTTTAGCAGGTGTTAAACTCTACAGGAGATCTACCTGCTCTAACATATATATAACCTATATATAATGTATAACCTAGGCCAACAGCAGACATCCAAGAAAGAGGGCAAATTCAGGGCAGGAGCATAGCAAGTCTTCCGTAGTGCATTATCCTATTTTACTGTGATTTGTGTTTAGATGCTTTGCAAGTCAGAGATGTTGTCTCTGTTCTTTCAGCAAACAAGGAAGATGAGATGTTTTACAAATCTTAAAGGAAGGTGAGAAGCATACATGTGCTGACTGCGGTTTGAGTCTTGCTCTTGAGTCTCTGAGAGCAAGAAGCCCCAGCGTGCTGCTAAATATATGTTGAGCTGTTGAATCAAAACAAAACCATGATCCAGTGTAATACGTTTTGGTGGATGGTGAGCCCAAGCAGAATCACTGCTGTTGCAGAAAGGTGAGGACAACTACTTTGGACAGGATCGGCACAGCTGAAAGCTACAGGGCAGATAAGAGTCAACATTACAGGGAGAATATTCGTTAACTGGCTGCCAAGTGCTGCTTTCTGATCTTTAGTTTGAGAAGGAAGCCCCTCCCCAGGCCTAGAGAGCTGAACAGCATTGCTAGATTCAGGACTGAGCTGGATGTGTCGCTCAGGGCTGGAAGGCTGCTCCAGGTGGAGCTGAGAAACAGGAGGAAGGGAAGGAGTGGAGCAAATGGCCTCCTTCCCCTCCTGCCTCCTGGCCTGGGGCTACAGTAGGAAGCACTGCTGCTGGGAAAGATCCAGGCTTCATCATTGACAGCCCAGGCCTTGGCCAGAAACACCAAGCACATGCTTTTTCTCTGTAAGCATAGATTTGTGCTCTTTGTTTGTCAAGACCTGGTGGCTGGCAGCTGGCTGCCGAGAGTGTCGATCTCCTCAACCCAATATGCTGACAAACCGAGAAAGGAAAAGTGTGCCTGATGCAGGCAACTTTAAAAAGTCACACAGAACTCCTTTCTGAGGCTCACTTGCAGGAGCCAGACACAGGAAAGAGATGTAGTCTGGAGGCAGAACCTTGCCTCCCATTGCTGTCTGGCTGGTGCGGAAGGGAGGTGTTGGGACCAGGCTTCGTGCCTCTTCCTGCCCCAAGCAGCACCCACAGGCCTTCCTGCGGCAGACTGCCATGCAGAGAGTAAGCAGTGCTGTGGTTTAACCCGGCATACAGCTGAATGCAACACAGCTTTTTCCTCATGCCCCCTGCCCGTGGGATGGAGGAGAGAATCACAGGAAAAAAAGAGAATTAAAACTCGTGGGTTGAGATACAGTCTATTTACTAAGATGGAACAGGAAATAACAGTCGTGATAATTTTATTTACGTATGTATATAATGACAGTAATGATAATTTTCACAGAATCATAGAATCATTAAGGTTGGAAAAGACCTCTAAGATTATCTAGTCCAAGTGTCCACCAGTCACAAGTATTGCTCACTAAACCATGTCCCCCAGTTCCACCTGGTCTAGTACCAGATCTGAAGGTTGGTGGCCCTGTCTGTAGCAGAGGCTTTGGAACTTGATGATCCTAGGGGTCCCTTCCAACCCCAAGTCACTCTATGATTCTGTGATCTTCATGGTTCTTGAATGCCTCCAAGGATGGTGACTCCACCACCTCTCTGGGCAGCCAGTGTCAGTGCCCAACCATTCTTTCTGAGAAGAAATTTTTCCTAATATCCAACCTGAACCTCTTCTGGCATACATACATATATATGCGTGTGTGTATATACATATGAAGGATGCAGGAGGAGGCCAGAGACCCAAGAACCCTGGAGTGTTGGACATGAAGAAAGGGAGGAGCAGAGTGGGAAGAGAGGAGGCTAAGGAAGGAAGCAAGAGAAAGAAACGATAGGAGTTGTGTCTACAGAATAAGTCTCCTTTGGAAACCATATGTCTATGGAGTAAGCCTGCAACTTTCTGCTCTGTACCATTGCTGCTGCTCACTGTTAAGGCAGGTACCTCTGGGGGAAGCAGGGCTTTGCACAGCCAGCACTGAACAGGTGTAGGAAGTACAAGAAGGAGTGTTTGAACACAAGTAGAGAGCCAAGAAACACATGTGAAGCCTGAGGAGAGGAGAACACACCTTCAATCTCTCTGAAAGGTTTTGTGTGCAACACTCTTAGGGTAGACTGTTGGTCTGTAGCTGAGACAGCATGCAACAGTGCCACATACTCAAGTTGACTGTTACTATTTCCATTATGAACCAGTTTCATTCATCTGCTCTGCTTCACTTTGGAAGGGGAGGTCTCCAAGGAGCCTTTGTGTTACGTGGGTTCCTGGAGGTCTCATACTGGTTGGACATAAGCAGAGGATAAGCTCTCCTATGTCACATGCCAGGTGAGATCTGGCACAGAATCTCTGCTGACCCAGAAGTCAAAACACATTTTTATCCTTCTATGCAATTGTTTGGTTTGTGGCCTGGGTAAGGTCTGTGGTCTCATTGACCAAGGGTGGTAGAGGCAGAAAAACCTAATGTCACTACCATCTCTTACAACTACCAGTTTTCTATATTGATACTAGCTATGATACTAGCTATGAGAACACTTTCATTGCTAGCAAAAAAGGGAAATAAATTTAAAAACTTTGCAACAGCCCAGCTGAGTACTGTGCCGTCTTTCCCACACACAGCAGTGAGGATCCCATTCTTCAGTCATCCTTAAGCTGGGGCATTTGAAGCTAAGGGCTCCTTGAGAGGACCTGAATATATCCATTGGGTTCCAGATGACCCAGCTCTCAGACAAGGAGAGATGTGGCCCTCCATCACTTGGCAGCAACAGGGTACTTTGGCCCAACTAGTGAGGCAACCACTTGCTAACCTCATCAACATGTCAGCAAGCAAGCAGAGCGTGGTTTGCCATAAGAGGAAGTGGAAGGTAGTCACAGAGCATGGTCGCACACTCCGTTATACTTCTTCCACACCAGCAGCGCTTTCTCAGTTTGTCTGCATACAGAATCCCTATTCCAAATGTCACCCTGAAAAACAGTTTTCTCTGCCACCAGTGCTGGGAATGACAGGTACCGTTGCTTCTGCCCTATCTGCCTTCTTGCCAGGATTGGGAATGAGTCTTCAGTCAGAAGCTGCTGTCATTGAGTAGGCTCTGACTGTGTTTGGGTACTTGTAGCAAATGAGCACCTCCTGTCATGGACCAGGAGAATCTCTCCTGGTGCTTATGGCTATGTCTAGCATTTCACAGCTGGGAGGACTGCACAGCCTACTGCACCCTGTGTTGGTTTTCTCATACCGTACTCATCCTACAGTAACTAAACTAAGTCAGGGAACCTGAATGCCCCTCAGACTTGAATGGTAGGCATTCAGAGTAGAGCTGCTTCTGACATCCCAGGGAGGGGAAAGAAAGGCCCCACCAGCTTATCCACCCTGCCAGAGATGCATGAGACAATCTAGGTCCTCACTGAACTGGGAGCAGACTGCTTCCCCTAGGTCTTCTTGAGACTGGACCAAGCAAACAACAAATAAATGCTCATAGGCTGACAAAAGGTACCTTCTTCCCTGTATGAGCACAGGTTGAAAAATGGCTCACGCAGAGTGGATCAGGAAGGCACACGCCCATCCTCAGGGTGATAGGACTCAACTTCTATCAGCGCATCTGCTCTTGGCAGTTACCTGATTGGAGTAGGTGTCCATCCCATAAGTGAATGTTCAAAGGATTAGTCCAGGCAAGATCTCTTTTTATGAAGTATATTATGCGATGGAAACTTTCATAAATACAAGTACAATTTTTAAGACAATTCAATTCCATTGGGGCATATTCCATGTTTCTCTCTTCAGTCAATTGGACATTTCAGTGTGGAAATCATCACGTCACTTTGCAAGAAATGCTTCTCCTAGCTCTACATTAATCAACTGCCAGGTCTTCTCTCGTGCATGGTTGCCTTGGAAAGGTGGTATTTTTAGTAGCCACTCCTGCTTAAGGAACATTCATTTTCTTCACCTCCACTTCTTAAAAGTGCAAACGTTCTTCCCTTGTTTACTTCCTTTAACTACCCTTATTTCCTGCCTTTTTTTTTTTTTCTGAGAGCTATCAAATAGGTGTGGTAGGCAGTTCCGTCGAATTACAATGGTGAATGTTGTACAGCACTACAAGTTTGTGTTCTTCATCTGCAGCTATTCATCAAGAGGAGAGAGGTGTGAATTATATGTGAGTACACACCAGCAGCCAGAGTACACACTCTGCTTCCTGTATGCTGGGTAGTTTTTGACACAAAACTGCCTCCACCCAGTTCAGATGTTCGCCCATCTGATCAGAAATGTTAAGTTCTTCTACAAGCCCATCTCTGAAATCTCTATAGTTTGCATTTTTTACTATTGAGTTTGGGAAGAAAAAAAAAAAAGAAGATTAATGCCCTTAATTTCCTCTGCAAAGTGATTTTAGTAACTGATCATCAGCTCTGTCCTATTTATTAGGCGGCCTGGTTTAGGGTCGGTCCCCACTACCCATCTTAGTGGATAGGCATGGTATAGTCAATAAATTCCTTGTGAATAAAGATCCTTTTTCCTGGAACTAACTGCAACCTGGCTCCCTGGGGAGGACACCAGGAGGACTTGGAAAACTCTCCTCTCTTAGGTGGATTAAGACAAGCACCCCGCCATGCCCTAGCATCTGTGGGACTGCAGCCTTTACTGACACACTTTGAATTGATGCAAATACTAACTTTCCATCTTGTCTTCTGATTCACAGAAAACACCAGCTGGGAAAAAAAAAATAATGGGGGATCATGCAGCCTGTGCCACAATTGAAAAGGATAACTCCACTATTTGCCTAGACATTCCCTACAAAGACAGCAAGATACTTCTAATTGCTGTTTACAGCATTGTTTTTGCCATTGGTCTTCCAGCAAATTGCTTGACTTCCCTGCTCGCATTTGTACAAATCCAAAGGAATAATGCAATTGCCATCTACATTTTCAGTTTGTCATTGTGTGATCTGATGTATTTAAGTACCTTGCCTCTCTGGATTATCTATGTGCAACATGATCACCACTGGACTATGGGTGAACAGGTTTGCAAATTAACGGGATTCATATTTTTCTGCAACATATACATCAGCATTCTGCTTTTATGCTGTATTTCTCTGGATCGTTATGTGGCACTGGTGTATGCTCTGGAATCAAGAGGGAGAAGAGGACGCAAAAAGGCAATCATCATAGTGTGTTTTCTTGTTGCTGTGGTTGCAATAATCCACAGTCCAATATTTAAAATGGATAGTATACATAACAATAACTGCTTTGAGACCTTACCCCTTGACAAAACACTGGCTTCTTTCAGCTTTGCCAGATTCCTATTTGGATTTGTCATACCTTTCACAATTCTCATTTTCACCAACTACAAAATTTTCCAAAGAACAAAAACAAGTGACAGTGTGACTTGTCACCAGAAAGCCAAAGTGAAGTATCTGGCAATTGCCATCATTGTCATTTTCCTGATGTGCTTTGCTCCCTACCATGTGGTACTCCTAATAAGAGCCATATACTTTATGTTTCATCAGGATTGCTCGTGTCCATTTGAAAAAAGTATATATTCAGTTTTTACAGTGTTTCTGTGTTTATCAACTGCAAATGGCATTGCTGATCCAATCATCTATGTGCTGACTAGTGAAAACGTCAGGAAAGATTTCTACAGAAGCCTGAGAAGGTGGAAATCAAACTCATCCAGGCTCAACTCATCCATTAATCATAAGACTGACAGTAGCAAATTGAAAATGCAGAAAGAATCACAAGAAGGAGTATTAGGGGAAGAAAACAAAGAGATAGCAAGTTCATCACACGTGCAGGAGACCGTATGCAGTCACAATAGCAAAGACCCAGAAGGTGGTAGCTAGCAGTTTGCGGCTGCAGCTGGCTGCTGACAGCAAAGAAGTTCTCAATGTGAGTTGCAGACTGCACAGTGCAGCACACAAATATTTACATGCTGATGTCCAAAGGAAGGGTTGTGGGTTTTTTTGCAGTACGTGGGCCAGCAACTCCTTGAAAACATTATGGGAACGTTACTTCTTATTTCTGTTTCTCTCCTTCTACGAGGTTTGCCCATCAGTACCATCAGTGAAAACCTTGCTTTGTGAAGAACATGTGGAATAAACTGTGAAATCAACTTTGACTCAAAGCTTATTTTTTGGACTCTTACAAAATGAGAATCAGTTTCTTCTTCTGAGCTGAACAAAAAGAAACACCCAACCTGGAAGAACAACGTGAGGCCCATTCTTCTGGTTAAAATCACTAGGTTCAGGAGGTACACGTTCAGATTCTCATGCATGTATCCTGTTGTTAAAGTTTGTGGTTAACCAGTGGAAAATGTAAAAAATGAGGAAGTCTTTCATGAGCCTTGAAAATGTTCCTAATGCTTCAGTATGCAGTTTAGTCTACCTTGCATGTACTGAGTAAAGGGCAAAGCAGTGTCTGCTAAAGTGTACAAACGGTACTTCTACAGTACTCGTCAGGAAACAGCACCAAACAGTCTTGAAATGCTTAAAAATGTACCCTTCTACTGCTTGATATTTTACAGTTGGTAGATTTTCCTTGTTTTGTCGCTAACTCTGGAATGCACTGAAATGTTTAGAAAATGTAGGCATTTTCAGGTGGAATCGGTGACTGTTTTTATGCCATCTCCAAATATTTGTTGAACTTGTGTTTCATTTCTGACTACGGTAATGCTCCCCTCTCTGTATCAATCTGGATTTTAGTGTGCAGGATCTATACAAGAGTGTAGCCTTTCTGCCAAGGAAGCCTTTCTGGCAGGGAAGGATGGCAGCATGGAGAACACAATGCCTTCTCCTTGTGGATGAGACACACTGGTTGTGCACACTGAGACTGTGCTGGGCAGATTTTGTTGTTTCTGCCTCATTTTTGCTGTGTATAAACTACTGATGGCAGTATCCTGTACCTTCAAACTAGAAATCACAAAATAAGAAGCATCTAACTCTACCACCTGGCAAGACTTATCTAAAAACCTTCTCATATTTTTATGCGACCAAAATAAAACATCACAAAAGTAGTGAACCAACTGCATGTTTATTTCAGTACGAGTTTCTAAAGTATTCCATAGTGCCATTCTGCTTTATCTGCAATGTTGTATTTCAGTATTTCAGTTTAAAACTGGCATTAATATCCATATTTCTGAATTGAACTAATAATAGTCAAGGCTACTTTAAGTATTTGTTAATATTTTAAAATTGTGCTAGATATTTCTGCATGTTATACTTCATTCTTACACACTTTGGGGAAGAAGTATTGTTCCCAAATGGCATTTCCTCAAGCTATTGTATTTATGACTTATTTAATTTTTGTATTATTTAATGAGTCCTCTGACATCTTCCTATGAAATGTTTGTCTTTTCAAAGGGAGATCGCACAGTTCTGAATGTAATAGAAGATTGTTTCTTGGAAAAAATGTGAAATTGTGTTGTGATGTTAATTAACAAATTGTAATTTTCTATTTTCACGTGCATCTCAGAGCTCAAACGCTCTGAGGTAAAAAGGAGAGTGCTGAATATCTGTAACTTTGCTGAAAATCAAGCTTTGCATTACTAAGAAAATCAGCAGCAGGCGTTGCTCAGATCAGCCGCAGTCAGCCAGAGGGCTGCTGATTAATCTCTGAAGACACGTATGCAAACTGCCGCAGCCTCAGGATTTTCACAGCCTACATGTAAAACTTTGGTGAACAATGGCAGTGAATTTGGAAGAAACCAAAGAGACGGACTTCAGACTTCTGAGCTGAATGAAATGGTTGCAAATCGGATATTCAACCTGAAGATTTTAGAAATCTCTCTGATACTTTTCGTGTGAGAAAAAGCAAGTGTATTTAAATCAAACAATATTGGAGTCCAGTGCCATCGATGCAGGGGACAGGAATTAGCAAGATCTGACACAACATCAGTAATCCTTTTGCCTTGTCTAATACAGTTGCCTTTCCAAATTACTGTATCATTGTGCATCTTCTCTTAATATAAGTCCTTGGAGAATCATTGTTCTGATACACTCTGAAATAAACTCTTCTGCAACCTGATGTGACTTTGAAGATGACCTACACAATCCCCAGAGATCCTTTCCAATCTAATTTATCCTGTGACAGAATACTGAAGGGATTACGGGGGCCAGGTGAAGACACCAAGAAATGTTATTTCCACATCGTCAGAGCAGCCCATCAGATACACTGAGTGCTCTGCTCCCACGCCACAAACTGAAGCATATGAGCTCACTGTTTTGTTACATGGTATATCATAAAGGAAGGATCTCAATGCTGAGATACCTGCTGGAGACCTATTAAATAACATTACTTATGTCAGAACAGATCTGAAAGGTCAACTGATTGTATGGATTAGGGTTAGGTGTCCCAGCGCTCCCTGAGCTCCAGCACTCAGGGTTGTGCCCACTGCCCTGGGCAGCCTGTTCCATGCCCACTGCCCTCTGGGGCACAGCCTTTCCCTAACCCCCAGCTGACCCTCCCCTGACACAGCTCCATGCCTTTCCCTCACCTCCTGTTGCTGTCATCCAAGATAATAAAAGATGATTTTACTTCTGTCTCTCAGACATTCCTAGTGTACTTGGGATATGAGTGGATTGCTGATTGTTTTAAGCATAAAGTGAGTAATTTCTGGATATCAACTAGAGCTGGACAAACTAGCTTTTGCATATAATATATCTTTTTGTTTACTCATCAATTCTACAAATGCTGCATTACATCTTTGCTGGCAATAACTCACTTAGAATTCTCCATTACTCTCTAAGAAATATTCAATATGCTCAATATTAAATTTTGCTTCACAAACACAATTATTCTTCCTCTGTAAAACAGGCAAACACAGATATGAATAAAGTCAGACTCTAAGCGTGACAAAGTTTCATCTGCAGCTGGTGGCCCTGCAGCTGCTCTCATTCAGTCCCTGCTATCACGTACAACTCAATGTCAAAGTTTTGGTAGCGAGTGACGAAACCTAACTTAGAACCAAGGTTTCAAGCTGTTATATTTTCACATCAAGACCGAATTGCTGTCCTACAGGTCGTGCTGTGGGATAGGTCTTTTAGGAAATGTCCTCTATAGAGAAAAATAAGGCAAAGTTGCCTGTCTATCTCATTTTCATGGAACAAATAAGGGTGGGGGGATTGTATCAGAGAAGTGCAGTCGCATTTGGAACCTCTTTGGTGCGCAAAGGAAGCATATGGGCAGCAGCATCTTCCAGCACGGCTTCTGCAAGTTGTGTCTAGAGATGAGGGTATCATACATACCTGACCTCTCCACCTCTTTTATTCTTTTTTTGCGGTGCTTTACATCCCACTGAGTTCCTTCTCATTCCCTGCACAATTAAGCTTTGCACAGGAGAGGGCGCTTCTTGTATTCTGTTTGCACCAGGGATGCAGTGAGGCCTCCTGACAGGCAGTTCTCAGGTGAAAGGAATGTGAATAACAAAGGGAAATCTGTTATCCCAAATTATGCTAACGCTGATGTCCTGGTAATTGATGTTAGTTGCTGTTCTCAAGAGCCATTAGTAAGACAGGACTCTAAACTCACGTCTCATCTCTGTGTTTCAGATCACTGATAAATTCTAGGGTCTCACCCTCTTACTCCATCTGTAAGAAATGCTCAGAGATAATCAAGAAAAAAAAAAAAGAAAAAAAAAAAAAAACCAGCCTTGTAGGCAGATAGAAAGTCTGCTGAGGAGGGGCAATAAGTTATGTGGTAAGAATTTCACAGAACATCATATGTATATTGTCTGCACGAGCAACCGCAGAATATGCCTTCTCAGTACACCATCAGACAACCCATCCTGTTTGGCAGCCTCAGTCTGTAGTGGGGCACGTACATCACAATCTATGAGCACAAAGCATCTCTTGCATGTTCAAAGGTCTGTCTTGAAATGCTTTCTTGAGGGAGGTGAAGAATTAAAGAGAAGTGTGGGAAAAGGATGTTGTATGATATACAAAGTCCTGAAAAGCCTTGTAAACCTGAAGTCACAGATGTTCTGAACAAGTATGCAAATACCTACGTATTCAAAACTGTTGCTTACAAATTCTTCAGTCTGAATCACAGTTCTCCTTCTGTAAAATGGAACGCTTCTTCCCTTGAGCACTGTCTGCCTCCTTAAAACACAGCCCCTGCATGAGATACTAGAAAGAGTGATCAGGTGCGTGATGTACGCATAGTCAGTGCTGACTGCAGAGGGGCAGTGAGCTGTGTGGAGGTGATTATAAGCGACTGAAACACAAATTCTACTGAGTCAGCACTTTCAGAGACAGCTTTGAAGCTCTGTAATTGCTTCTGTTTATTCGTAAGCTTCAGGGAAGAAAAAAAAAAAAAGAAAAAAAAAGAGGACGTCCATTTAACTTTAACCCCCCTGCTAGTGACATGGTTGCTAGACCCTTGGGGATTTCACAGGGATTGATCCTTAATAGGATGCTTTGGAGTTTAGAGTTTGGCTGTCTCCTGAAGGTAAGAGAAAGTTAGTAGCACAGATCCATACAGTTGTTGTCCAGACTGAAAATACTCAAGGCCAAGCACTCACAAGGCTTGTAGCATCTCTCCATCAGTAATGCTAATTGCACTTGCTGTTTACGTATATGGCAGATTGCTGGTAATTATCTTTAAAATCCTCAGTGCTTTAAGATCTATCCATGTGGACACTGCCTCTCCTGAGCTCCTTCCTTCCTAGAAAAGTTTTTGTAGGTTGGGAAGCACTTTCCTAGCAGCAGATTTCTGACGTGTCTCTCTGACAATCTAACAACAATGTGCTTGAGGCAACAGCACTCATTTGGTTGATTAAGGGCTGCTTTTTTTGGTTTTCTTAAATATAGTGAGGGCAGGACTGGGATGACACTACCCACTACAGGTAGATTTTGTTACTGTATGCCTGCCACTTACCAGTGACTACACAGTATGTTGTATACAGGACATTTGATAAGGTATTTAAAAAGTCCTGTAATTTTCCATTTAGCTGCATGTATGGTTCCTGTCTACTTCTAATTATTTTCTTCATATCTTTCTGAAGCAAAGTAAAGCTTATGAAAACTAATAGTCCACAGCTCTTGATGGAATGATGTGCTTAACTTCATTACTTGTAGTAATAGCTGTGTCCCAAAGATAAGAAACATACTTCTCAAGCTGAACTCAGACTGAATGCATATTGCTGTGTGCAAAAAGGAAGAAAAATATGCTTTAAATTAAAAAAGAATCTCAGGGATATGACTTACTTCTTGCTTTCTTGACTTACTGTGGGAATGGCCCCTCAACAAAAGGCAGAAGATCAGAGCTAAGCCAAGAATGAACCTAAAGTTCCTGTCAGAAACAAAGAAAAGAGAGGGATGGGGGAACTTTCTTTGTACACTGAACTGTAAAGGAAATTCTGAAAGGTAATAAGGTAATAATGGAAAAGATTTGTGGAGGTAGGAAGGGGCAGCAGGTTAACTTCAGTGCTCCAGAAAAGCAGAATTGAAGATTTGTGATCTTACAGCACCACCTGCTCTGAGGAGAGCTGTGGGCCCTGTTTGCTTCATTCGGGGACAAGTCACTCACTCTTCCAGCCAGAAACACTCCTCCTTCACTAAAAGCTAGAAACTGTATTAAATCTTTGTCTCTTTGGTTTCTTGCCTTTCAGTTTCAGATACTAGAACCTCTTAGTCAAATTCCAAGATGAAAAATGATACCGTAAAAGCAAATATCCCAGAAAAGCATTGTATTCTCTGGAGATACCAAAAACCATTAAAAATAAATCAAAACAAAGTTAAACCAAATGTATGAAATCAGCATTCCTACCATGAATTGAATGCAAATCTGAAGGTTTTTTTGCTGGCCTGGGTTTCCATTTCATATCAATTTTAAACCACCTGGATTCAGAGGAAATATTTTTGATGTAGAAATATAGCTTGGACGTATCCATTATAACATAAAGCCATGTTAATGTATAATCCTGACTTGTTATTGTTTCATCATCACGGGTCAAATTGGCTAACATGAAGAAAAGCTTCTATACCCAACATACTCCAACAATCAACACATCAGTCAACCCCAGATCATGAGCCTACTGCTCTACTACGATCCACGCAGCAGGAGTTTCTGATTTCAGAAATGACACCGAGATTTAATTCTCTTTTCTATAGTTCCGGTTTTTATTATTTTGGCCAGGTTTGTTGCATTGTACAATTCAAACCCACATCCATTCCATGCACCAGCTGCTTTTTCTCCAGGAGCTCAGTGCAGGCACCAGAGGGCACCACACTCTCACCTATTTGCCCTGCTGGCCGTGGTGGACTTCAGAGAAAGAAAAAAAGAAAGGGTCATGGTGCTTACCCAGCTATGGCAGAAACACAAATCCATATTCAAATGGTAGCTATGTACAGAAAGAAAAAGGAGAAGCATAAAACAGAAGTGAAAACAAGAAATATCATGCAAAGAAAAGAACAGAGCCTTGCATCAAACGATAAAAAATAGAGGGCGATGGGGTTTGCCAGGATCTGCCCATGATTCCCTGGAGATGATGTTAGGGTCAGAGGGAAATGCACCACCTCCTGCACTCAGCTGAGCCGGCTGCTGCAGTACTTGCACACCCAGCGTGCTGTGAGCAAAGCCTCAGGAGCCCCTCTGTGTGTGCACTGCTGTGCATTGCCCTGCACTGCTGCTCCACGCAGCTCCTGTGCCTTTATTGCACATCAACTGGCACTCGGTGGTGTTTGTTAGTCACATTAAGTAAGGCCAATTAAACATGTATTACTCTGTTAACCTAAGACATTTTGAAATGATTGCTGGGCTGTCACTGGCTACTGATAGAGCAGCAGGAGACGTGAGTTAACATTCCTTTATTGCTACAAAGTCAGGGCTGTCATTCCCATCAAGGCACAGGACCCAGAGCAGAGAAGGAGACTTGCTCACAGCCTCTTATCTGTGTTCATGCTCATGACTCTAATTGAGTTAACCCCTTAACCAGATAAGTCAGACAGGCATTCACAAGCATTCCCTTAGGAAAGAAAAAAAAAAAAAGCTAAAAAATTACATTTTAAATATGACTTTCCATGCCCTAGTTCATGAGTTCATGTACATTGTATGTTCATCTTTGGATACCCTTTCTAAACTATAATTGTTATCTTCTTATTTAATTTAAGATGTATTTTTTTCTTACAGACTGAAATTCAGATAAGCCACCATCAAATCAACATTGGCAATAATTTGTGGATATAGAATGTTTTACAGTTTAACCTATCAATTCACTAGACTATAGAGCAAAATTGGGAAACAATCTGAGCATATATCACAGCCTTCATTTACTCTCCCAGTCAGGGAAGGGTCAATTTAACTTGCAGATAAAGCACTACTTCTGAACCGGCTTATCCACAGCTCTCTTACCTCTAGAGTTCTACTATCCTTAGTAATTGTTGGCCAGAGGAAAATCCCATGTCTGTTTTGGAAAATGTTAGACTACGAATGCTGTTAATGGTTGTTATTGGGGTCCCATCTAGCAGAACTAAGCCAAATGCCTCAAAACTACAAGGCAAACTGAGCTAAATACTCTAAAAAGTTCTGTTAGTTCTACCCATG